GAAATTGCAACCCTATGAATTTAAAAGCAACTAAAAAGGATGGAAAAGAAAAATCTTTTTTAAATTAGGGTTACAATCAAACAAATGAGGCAAGGGGGATTTTGTATTGAATTTAATGGTTCTTGTGTTAGTAAATGTCAAAAGTGGGAAGGATGAATGTTTATTTTATGGTTAACAAAAATAAAATCTTTTTTTAAGTCCTAATTGTCTCTAATTGTGAAAGAATAGCTAAATGGTGGAATTAAGAAACTTGAAAGAGCGGATTACCCGGAAGCATCTTCAATCCTAGCTCTCCAATCCGCGATCTTCAAGCTCCAAAGTTTCCTTCAACAAAAAACATACAAGTTTTAAAAGAACCAAGGAATAATTAAAACCTACTTTAAGCACCCTTTCCCCGGCAACGGGCGCCAAAAAAGCTTGATGGGCATAAACATGTACCAAAAAGGTTGCAAGTGCACAACCGTGTCATTAGCTTATAGTATTTAAGATATCAGATCCCACGAGAAAAGTTGTGGTTTGGGTAGGGAGGAAAATATAAAGATTGCGTTCTTATTTTGTGGTGCGTGACCAAATAGGAGTGATGCGTTAAATGTGATTGTGGGAGAGATCACATTTAGGAGTGGAAGTGATAGTGTTGTGAAACGACGCAAAATTTAAGTGAGAGGTGGATGTTGACAAAGAGATGGATGTGATCAAATAAGGCAAGAAGGAAAAAATGAATAAAATCAAGAAACAAATGAAAAATCAAGAATAAAGAACAAAAATTCAAAAAATAAAAGATCAATACAAGAAATTAAAGATGGGGATTCAATTATAGATATGGGTAATCTTAAATTGAACCACTTTTAGGAAAATGGTGATATTCCCATTAGAGGGTTGCTAGCCTAAAGGTAATCAAACAAAATTAAAAACTAAAACAAAAAATGAAAAACTAAACCCAAGAGGGTTCTAGGGCCTCAAGGTGAATAGGTATAAGAAATTAAAAATCTAACTATAAAAATAAATTATAGAAATTCTATACTACAAAAGTAAAAATTACAAGAATAAATGCAAGAAAATAAAATACTATTCTATAAGCCATGAAATAAATCTAAGGGCAGAGGGTTCTAGGCCTATTGCTATTAACAAGAAAATAAAATCTAAACTACAAGCCATGGAAATTGGAAAGTCAGGCCTAATAAGCCCAATAAAAGAGAAAAGAAAAGAAATGCTAAACCTTCAAATAAGTTCTTCATCTCATCTTCATCTTCATCATCCAATAAAGAGAAAGAAGAGAAAAATTTAACAGTGGGTAAAAAAATTATTATTATTAATTGCAACTAAAGTTACAATTTTGAAGGTCTTCTCAATTAAGAGTCAGCCCTCCTCTCAAAAGGCAGTTTACAAATTTTTCAACCTCTAACCTCTCACTCTCTACCCGTATTTATGAGCTAAATCTTCAATGAATATGAAGCCATTGGATTTGTCTTGGAGGCCCCAGCAGCAAACAATCTCCACCTTTGATTTATCTTGATTTTCAAAAGAAATTCGAAAATCCAGATTGTAGTAGCACTCAGAAGTCCAAATCCGGAGAAGCCATTTGATTCTTTACTCCAGCAGCTAAGGAAAACAACTCGGTCTTCATTTGGGGAGTAGAAATTAAGTTCGGTCATTTTGGACTTCATTTGATCAAACCAAAGTTTGCAGCAATCACCGGCCCATCCCATGCAATCTGTAGCAAATCAAATAAAGTCCGGTCATTCATTTAGCTGAGGAAAAAATTAACAATGCATCCGTTCATTTGGACTTCTACAGCCGGTCCATGAAGATTAATTTGTTTAATGGGCTTGGGTTTCCAATCAACTTCGGTCCATGAAGATTAATTTGTTTAATGGGCTTGGGTTTCCAATCAACTTCGGTCCATGAAGATTCTGCAGCAAAAGTCCAATTCATTTCATTTGTAGTCCAAGTCTCCTGGCCCATGTATTTCTCCATTGAATTCCCACATTTTGGTATATATATATTTACTCATTTCTTTCATTTAATCGATGGGTTTTTCTTGAGAGATGAGAGTTTGAGATTTATTCTTCATTATCCTGTAATTAAAGATAAAAGCAATTATTAGTGGTATATTTATTCATATAAAATAGATAATGAGGGTATAAAATTGTAATAAAATGTGATTATCAACGGGCAGATTTTCAGATAGTTTCCAATTTGTTTTTACACTGTTTTGAGATGCATTCGAGGGATCCTAGTCGTACTTTTATACATGTTTATTCACGAATACACAAGTACAATGTTATTGCATACACATGAATATCCCGATGGGGATTTTGACAAGTATTGATCCGATTACACTTGAGTTAGAGGTGGTTTACATAGTTTACATACATATGGATATCATTGATGAGCACCGCTCAGTACTATTTGAGATAGTGCGTTGATATACCATTCGTACAGAAATTGATTACACAGTTTATACATATATATGGGTTTGTGCATTGGTATTCTAATAGTACAGGCCATTGAGTCGGGTTTGAGGATGCTTGACCTAACAGTCCATCCCGCACCAGGGTGCGATGAGGCTGGTGAGCCGTATTTCTAGAATGCCTATTTGGTAGTCCGTCCCACACTCATGTTACACACTAAGTTGCGATGAGACTAATGAGCTGAGTACACTGTTAAGATGCCGACTTGGTAGTCTGTCCCGCATGATACTGTGATGAATCATAACTTGCATGGATTTTATTGGTGATGATTTCTTGATAGCCTGAGTCCATGGCGGATGCCAGTTATGCGTAAGACTCATCGTTGAGATATAATACCGAGATACTTTGCTCTTGAAAGTATACAGGATTATATGTTGGTATTTATTCTATCTCCCCAGTGATAGTGAAAGAAATTATAAATACGATGTATTAATGTCTTTATTTTCTTTACTGCTTTCTTTATTTCTTAGGTTGGGATCAATGATTAGCGATTCACAATTTGAGACATATGGTATATACATGAAGGTTTCCTTGTTTGGATTATTTTACTTGACGTACTACGTCTCGTGTTGTGGATTTCTAATTATTGATTTCATTTAGATTGTTTATCTCTAGATTGGTATTAATGTTTAGGCATCTACAATTTGAGACATATGGTATAGACATGAGAATTTTCTTGTTTGGATTATTTCGCTCGACGTACTACGTCCTGTGTTGTAGGTTTCTAAATGTTAATTCTACTTAGTTACGGGGAGAAATGATCTAGGTAGACTATGCTTAATAGATAGAACATTCACTCCACCTAGTAGCCCTTCCCCTGGGGGGAATGGAGGTAATCTTGTTGTAGTGCTCTGACGCTATTGTTGTTATTCTTTTTATTATTTTCTTTTCTTCCAGGCGGTACAGAGGTATGGAGAGCCACAGGATGACGGGGTTCTTGCATAGTCGCTGTCACATGAGTTTTAGAGACTCATCACTAGATTTTTATTTTATTTTATTTAGACATTAGAGTTTTATTCTCATTTTGTAAAGGCTATTAGCCTTAGTTACATTTCTAGTTGATTCATGTCGAGATATTTTACATTATTTCAGATATCAGGTGTATACAGTTTTATTCATTTGAGACATGGTTTCATTTATGAGATTTATCATTCTATACCATGTCTATGTAATTATTTACCTTATTTTGCATGTTTTGTACCTACACTTCTTTTTTATTCCACTTGAGGATATTACAGTGATTAGTGAAACGTGTTATTGCACAGTGTGGGTGCATGGCAGGTTTGACATCTTTGGATTCACCTTGGACTGTAGCCATGTGTGAAAACAGGGACGTCACACATATGTACATACATACAGAGGTATGAGATATTGCGCCTGAGTAGATAACAATTGCAAATATATAAGAATAGGATAAGTGTTTGAATTTTATAAACCCCTAACATTAGGATATGGATTTTTTTTTCAAATTTATGTTCAAGTGAAAGGATTGAAGTTTGAAGTTTGAAGTTGTAGATTAATATACATATTAGGACATTTTGTTCACACGGCCCATCTAATAGGAAAATAATGACATCTTTTCTTGAGACCTTTAGTTTAAAACAAACGAAGCATGATAAAAGCTAAAGGTTTGCTCACATAAACTGATAATCGCCTTGCTAATGGCTAATGCCCGTGATATTTTCGGATCTGTAACTCAATAGAAAACCTAAAATTTTCACCTGCGATCCCCAAAATCCCTTTTTCTCCTATGGTGCAAATAACAAATAAATAACTAAAATTTATGGCATTACATGGACAATGTGAAATCAGATATCGTTTCTGAAACATTGTAAACAACATAAAATGATAGAAAATTACTTGTTAATCAGAAAAGAATTCAAGAAAAACCCTAAATTTCCCCTCTGGTACCCAAATTAGGATATTTAGTTCACATGGGATTATGATATAATTAGGATATTTAAAGTTGAATTAGAATATAATTAGGTTAAGAAAATTAGGAAATTTAGTTTACATGGGATTATGATATAATTAGGATATTGGAAGTTGTAGTTCACTGATGATTAGGATAATTAGGATAGATTTGAATTGAAGTGTAACGTCTAAAAGAGTTGAGGGTATTTTTGTCTACCAAATTATAGATTTGAATTCAAATGTAATATCTAAAAGAGTTAAGCGTAATTTTGTCTACCGAAAGAATTTTCGAACTCATGTTTTTAAAGGGAATATGATATGAATGACATGTTCAAATTACCGGTCATACAATTCCATAGTAAATCGCGTAATCTTCTATAGGGTCATACAATTCCATAGTAATACTATCACCCAGTTGCAACAGAACTTGTGATTCTATTGTTACAGATTGACCCATGAGTGAATATTTTTTGACACTTTCATCTCAAGAGATATATTTATCCAAAAAACAATTAAATCTTTCAATGAGGGCAAAGGGTCAAAAAGTTTACTCATAGAATCTATCTGCAACAGTAGAACTACTGGGGCTTATTCGCCATCAACTTCTTTCAATAACTAAACAATGCAAGGCTTTGCAACAAGAACCAGGCCTGTTTTCTTGTGCAAAGTTATTCCAGGTGATTCAGTCATATCCAGCACTTCAGCCTCCATCCCTTTAGGTATCTCCCAATCAAAATGATGCAGTAAACTAGCAAGTACAAGCTCAACAATAGGAACAGCAAATCCGGCTCCAGGACAACTTCTTCTCCCTGCACCAAAAGGAATAAACTTGAAATCCTGGCCTCTGAAATCAACATCACTGTCCAAAAACCTCTCTGGCATAAACTCTGTGGGGTTTTCCCGTGACCTCGGATCTCTTGCGATCGCCCATGCGTTAACGATGACTCTCGTTCCCTTTGGAATGTGAAAGGATAGTAATTCTACGTCTTGTGTTGTTTCTCGGGGAATTAGTAGAGGGACTGGAGTGTTTAATCTTAGTGATTCTTTGATTATGGCTTTCAAGTATGGCATTCGGTCGATTTCTTTGTCGGAGATGTGCTTTTGGCTGTGACCGACGATTGAGCGCACTTCTACTTGTGCTTTCTTCATTACTTTTGGATTTCTCATGAGCTCGGCCATTGTCCATAGTAAGGTTGTGTATGTAGTGTCTGTTCCAGCAGCAAACATATCTTCTCATGAGCTCGGCCATTGTCCATAGTAAGGTTGTGTATGTAGTGTCTGTTCCAGCAGCAAACATATTCTGCCAAATTAATTCGAAATTATATTTCCATCAATAGGTTAGGCAATGAAGTACGTACAAGGTAAGAGATAATGCCTTGAACAATAGGGTTTCTCTAGTATTGTCTCAAATCGGCAAAAGTGTAGAATGCTTTCCAAATCCTTTACACCGTCTTTGGATGTGGGATAACGGGGGAGAGGTGGTAGGCGGTGGATAATTAGAATTTGGATCCTCTCCACTATAAAAAAGTAGTGGAGAGACCACTACTTTTAATCTCAATAGTTGATCACTTAGTAGGCGGTTATGATACAATCTAAATCTAACACTCACCATACCTCTATGTATTGCACACATTCTTAATTTGCACTAAAAAAATCACAATCATCAACTAGATAGTTAATTGTTGTGATTATGTAGTGGTCCCTCCACTACTTTTTAGATAGTGAAGAGGATCCGAATCCGGATAATTAACCCATTAACGATGAGCAACGTGGGTCCACGTGTTCCATTAATGAGAGTTTAAGGACAAATTTTCAAAACCACCCTCTTTAGCTATTTATTTGCAAAAAACGACCCCTTTTGAAAATAATTACAAAAACCGACTTGTTTTCAGCCCAGCGCTGAAAACAGGTCGGTTTTTGTAAAAAATTTTCCGAAACATCACGGGAGTTTAACTCCCGTGAAGTTTATCGAGAAATTAAACTTCACGGGAGTTGAACTCCCGTGAAGTTAATTTCTGCTTAAAACTCCACGGGAGTTCAACTCCCGTGGAGTTACAGTCAAACATTCACAGAGAACCGATTTCGGTTCTCTGGGAAATTGGGACTGCAACTTCACGGGAGTTGAACTCCCGTGAAGTTGCAGGTCATCTAGAATGCACAGCCTGCTGTGCATGTTTTGTATATGTACCTGTTAACTCATATATATGCCAATTTATTTACAAACAACAATATACATGATTCAACAATGAATTATAACTCATATATATGCCAATTTATTTGCAAACAACAATATATACATGATTCAACCATGAATTAAACACACACGATTATGTATATGAACAATAATTTACCTTCAAAAGTTTAGTATTTGAAAATTCAGGAAAGTTACAAAATTTATCAAAATAAGTTCATATACAACCCAATATAGCTCCCCTCCTTCCTCTCCCTCTCTTCCCCCTCCCCCTCGCTCTTCCCCGCCCCCTGGGTTCCTACTGATGAGCCTCAACTATCTGAGTATCCGACTGCTGAGGAGACCTAACGCCACCTGATCCTGAATCTCAGTCACGTGCGCATCAATATCAGCATCAATGCTATCTAAAACACGGACCTGCGTGGTAAACAATTTATTAAGTATCAACTCAATAAAAAATGTTATAATTTAGCTTAGAAACTTACGTAATCTCTCTCGTTCATCCCACTAGGGATGTAACTATCTGTCGGTGGGCGTGGCATGTGTCTAGTTAAGGGCTGTGGGTCATGCGTGATCCATCTACGTGTGATACCCTAATACCAACGCATATACGCAGTATAGTCAACAACTGTGGGCCTCGTATCCTGTATGCAATCCCACCTGTGAACCCACCTGTCTATGTAGGCCGCACGGACTACGGTCCAGTCAGTCCGGTGCGATGTAGGGCGCCGCCGACGATTGATCTGCTTGACAGAATCTGGAATATACTGAGAGAGTGTAAACTAACGTAGCACACGGTCCGGTACATGCATCTCTACGATCTCCCAACAGATCAGTGGAACTCTGGCTCTCCACAAGTCGGGACTATCTCGGCAGATAGGTGCAAGAGAATGTATATCGAGCTCCGGCGATGTATAGGGTCTCCACTTGAACTGAAATAAAATAAAACATTTATCAGTATCATACAGAAAAACTATAATATTCATACTTCTTGAGTTTTATATTTACCTGTTCGTGCTGGAGGACATCAATCTCATTTCGGTAAAACTGACGGTGACGCGTCGCTGATCTGTACTGAGCGTATCGCACATTATACTTATATTGCGAATAGCAGATATATAAGTACAAATATTCAGGTTACGAATGAAATATGTGTGTGTACAATTATACCTGTATGCCAATGGATACTGCCCCTCTAAGTCACGGTGCATAAGTAAAGTGGGTCGTCCAATATGAATGCGCTCCCATGACCAAATCTGTATCAACGTACAGCATCCCTTGAATTCTTTATTCTGCATCAGAGATACTCTACTCAATTCTCGATACAAATATGCTAATACCGCACTGCCCCACGATAGTGCGCCGCATACACCAAAATCCTCCAGCAGTGGCAGCCATCGTGCATGTACGAGAGTCTTGCTCGCATCCGGAAATAGTACGCACCCTATCATTGTAGGCATATAAAATTGCTTATAGGTCCCTTAGCATAGCTCGGCACAAACCGACGAACCAACGAGGCGACGAGGTTGACAAATCGCACGCAAGCAACGGAATACATCCATTCGAGCGTGGAATCAAGCCAACGGTTCAGGGAATCAACGAGTCATTCAAACAAGAGTGGACTCGGACGAATCACGATCGAATCAAGATCAGTTTCGGACTCGAACTCAGAAGTAGATTTACTGCCAAATCAGGATTCGGATCGACTGCCAAATCAGATCAACGAATCAGAGTCTGAATCAACCAAATCACGGACAGAACCGAAAGACGAAAACACGACGGAACCCAACACCAAGGGGGGGGGCTCGGCCTGAGCCGAGCCACCTCAGGGTGGCTCGGCCAAAGCCGAGCCACCCTGAGGTGGCCGGCCAGATCTGTGCCCGGGCACAGTAAAGGGAGCCTATAAATAGGCCCCCTTGTTTCATTTCAAAAGGTTGGATTTTTTGGAGGCGAAGCCCTGCTGGATTGAAGACTCAGATCTAAAAAAGATTCAAACTTTAGGACTTCGAGGACTTGCTCATCCAGATCTGGTGCTCGGCGATCGTCAATGCCAAATAAGGTAAGAGTTCGAGAGGACCGGATCTCAGATCTACGCAGGCATACTCCGGATCAAAGCTTGGCCTTTGATCCCGAGAATTAAAGGCTACTATTTCCTTAGCGAAATAGTACCCTCGGCTATTATTTCCTTGGTGAAATAATACCTGCCGTACTGCGTAGATCCGACCAGATCTAGATCGCGCGGTGGTCCACGGATAAACCCTGGCGCAGGCGAAGAACCCACAAAGCGAGTGACCGCAAAACAGGAGCTCGCGATTTGTTCGACAAACAAGGATAAAAAGTTGTAATTTTTCTTTATTTTTCTTTGATTTTCATTGTAACCGGATCTTATAAAAAGACCGGATCTTTGTAACTCAAAAAGTTGTTATTTAAAGATAGCAATGGAATCAATAATGAAGAAAGACACGATTTTTCCCGCGAACAATCATGTGCAATATGTATGCACGAGCATGAAACTGGAGCGTCTCATCAGAGGCATCCTATGGTATATCGCCCTGAAATGTCTGACGAATCCACGATAGCTTCATCGCACCACTCCTCAAGTCGGGAACCTGTCCAAGAAGCTGGGCACATACCTCCGGCCAACTATGATCATCGGTGCCCGTAACTACCGGTCCATCGATCCAGAGCCCAAGTATGACAGCCACGTCCTATAAAGTGATGGTGTCCAACATTCATCTTGTTGAGGAGATAAAAAGCCTACAGAATCAACTTCAGGATCCTCCAACATGCGGGAATACATTCCTTCGTAGTTCAACGATTTGCCCAAATCTCTCTGATGTTTTTCAATGAACAATTCGACCGAACGCTTCTCGTCGTGTAAGACATGAATGAGACCCATATCGTAGTCACTTGATATTTGAATACCACTTGTTCTGCTCTCCACAACAGGGTAATTACAAACCACACTGGGGTGATACTCACGTGAATTAGTTAATGTAAGTTTGTGTAATTCATTAACCAACTCATCGAAAGTACACGATTTTGTTATGAACAACGGTCCCGTTGTGCCTCCTTCATAAACGGGCATATTATTTTCGAGGTAATTAATCTTCCCATCATAAGAACAGAGAATTACAATTCGATCGTTCATCGTTACCTCTGAAGAGTGAAAAATTCAAGATCAATATTACACGAAAAGCCAAATAAATACACAAAATTATTTGATTTTTCTTCACAAAATTCGTAAATAATCCACAAAATTATTGATAATTTCCCCTCTAATTTCACAAAATTATTGATAATTTCCCCACTAATTCCACAAAAATTCTTGATAATTTCCACACTAATTCTTCACAAATTTCACAAAATTATTGATAATTTCCCCTCTATTTTTCACATTTATTGATAATTTCCCCTCTAATTTTCACATTTTCTCACAAAATTCGTAAATAATTGTGAAATTTCCACACTAATTCCACAAAATTATTGATAATTTCCATACTAATTCTTCACAAAATTCACAAAATTATTGATAATTTCCCCTCTAATTTTCACATTTATTGATAATTTCCCCTCTAATTTTCACATTTCTTCACAAAATTCATAAATAATTCACAATTAAATTCTAAAATCTAGATTTTTATATGAAATCACAATCAAATAGTAAGAGTATACAAATATTAGAGAGTATACATTTTTTTAGGAAGAATTTACCTGTTTTTTCCTCTGAGACTGAGATCTGACGTCGATCTGACGATGCCGGCGAACAGAAAGGAGGCGGCGACGGCGGTCGGACACTGGGGCACTCCCGTGAAGCTGCAGTCACAATTTCCAGAGATCGATTCTCTGGATTTGCTGACTGCAACTCCACGGGAGTTGAACTCCCGTGGAGTTTTAACAACAAATTAAGCTTCACGGGAGTTCAACTCCCGTGAACTTTAATTTCTCGATAAACTTCACGGGAGTTGAACTCCCGTGATGTTTCCGAAAAGTTTTTACAAAAACCGACCTGTTTTCAGCGCTGGGCTGAAAACAGGTCGGTTTTTGTAATTATTTTTAAAAGGGGTCGTTTTTTGCAAATAAATAGCTAAAGAGGGTGGTTTTAAAAATTTGTCCGAGAGTTTAATGAAACAACAAACAATGTTATAAGAAGGGGGGAGAGCCACGAAGGAAAGAAGCCTTAGCTCAATTGCAGCATAAAACAGAAAGGAAACAACCCAAATGCAATGAACCTCAAAAATAACAGAAGAACAATCACATGGAGCTAAATTCCAAAAGGAAACAACCCAAATGCAATGAACCTCAAAAATAACAGAAGAACAATCACATGGAGCTAAATTCCACGCCGTGATAACTAATCCTCCATCTCATACTCGGAATAATTAACCCTGTTTGAGAGTATTTCTAGGGAGAGTAATGGAGGGAAGGGAAGCGGTAGGAGGTAATTGGAGGTGAAAAGTTCATCTTCATTTGTGTGATTTGATTCTCTCCAAATCGGGGATAAATAATGGAGGGGTACGGAAATGATGAAAAACCAGACGATTTCACCCTCCTATCATGATCAATCTAATGGCTAATACTTGAGTTTACATAAGTCTCTTTTCTCTACTAAAACTGTCAGGTATGGTGAAATAAGTTTCGTTTCATTCCTCTTCCTAAACTCTGAAACAATTCGCTTCCCTGCCCCTTTCCCCTCCCCTTCCCTTTCCCTCCATTAATAGCCTGTTTGGATGGAGGGTAGAGAAGAGACGGAGAAGGGAATTTTTAGTTTACCTTTGTTTAGAAGTTCCGTTTAAAAGGTAGAAAAAGGGAATGAGAGGGAAAATTGAACTAAAATATTACCCCCCCTCCAAATTGGGGGTAAATAAAAGGAGGGGAAGGGAAGGAAGTTTGGGGGAAAAAAATCCTTAGTCATCTCCCAAACACACCATAAGTGAACCCCTAAACCTGAGTGTTAAGTTATACCAAATAGATTCACAATAATTTTTCCGTTAAAATCTCTAACTCTCAAATAAAATTAATCCTACCAGAGCCCCCCCAAGGTTTGAGGGTATCATTTATATGCTTATATTAGAATTGTAAACAACGTTTTATTGAAGGAATCTTTACTTACCAAAATAATTGCCTTGATGCTGTCTCTACCAAGGGAAAGGGAAACGCCGACCTTTTCATCTTTCTCAAGGGAAACACCAATTCTTTCGTCTTTCTCATCCAGCGAGAGCAAAATATCTACGAAGTCTCCATCTTCCTTATAGTTACCGTTTACATCCCTTCTCGCTTGAAGATGCTCTTGCAACACCTCTTCAAGAAAACTATCCAACTCTTTAGAATTCTTTCTTGCCCTTGAATTCAAACTAGTTAAATTATCCACCCAACCAAGCCAAGGTATGAAATCTCCAATAGGAAATGATCCAAGCAGATAACCAAGTTCACCCAACATATCGCGCACTTTCTTCGCTCCAACTCCTTCAATGTATTTCCTCCCTAGAGCAACTCTACATATTATATCACTACTAAGTGACACGAACAACTCGCTCAAATCCACCAAAGCATGTTGGGATGCACGGATTTTATCGATCATGATGGAGACCTCTTCTTCCCTTATAGAGAAAAAAGTTTGTACCATCTTGAAGCTTAGTAGATGTATAACACTTATTTTTCTCACTTGCCTCCAATACTCACCATAGGGTGCGAACGCCATGTCACGATCATAGATGAGCATCTTGGCCATGCTGGACTTAGGCCTACTAGCGGAGCCAAGGTCATTCTTTTTCATCACCTCACGAGCCATCTCTTCTGAAGAAACTATGATCGTTGGAACACAACCGATGCGTAGGAGCATTATTGAGCCATACCTGTTTGACAGCGCTTGCAACGAGCGATGAGGTAGAGAGCCTAGTTGATGGAGGTTACCGACAATGGGAAGCCTCAGAGGAGATGGAGGAGATTTCTGAGTGGGTTTCCGATGGCAAACAGTTAAGAAGAAGAAGAGGAGGATGAAGGTGATTGTAGAGAGAAAGAGCATATATGTTGATCCAAAGATTACTTTGTTGAAGATAGTCAAGGAGTGCAACCAGAATCTTCATCATATATAGCTCAAGGTGGCAAAACGGATTACGCTATAGTACTAAGCTTATGGAGGACAAGAATCGTGAGGGCAATCTTCTGTAAGATAAGATGTTGGATTTAATCTAATAAATCTATTTGTGGGCACATATGATTAATCAATGTGTATTGCTATCTTTCAGGATAGCCCACTAAAGTGATCAATTAAGTTGGGTTAATGGGTATTTAAATATAATCATGGGGTTATATGTGCAGATACCAGGTTGTAATTGTGATTTATTGAGGGGCTAAATTACAAAAGTACAACATCTATAAATAAGGGGTTATGGTCCCTAATCTAGGGTTACTACATTCTCTAATTCTCTTCACCCCCATCTAAGAGAGAAATTTGGCTAAGGAGAAAACCCTAAGGTTAGAAGATCCAAAACCCAAAATCAAGATCAAGCAATGGATTCAGGTATAAGCTTCCGCTCTTTTAGATCCTTGTTAATCTCTTTGAATTAATCATGGCTATATGGTTTTAGATCTCAAGTTTTATGATGTAGATCTAACAAGTGGTATCAGAGCCACCTTGATTAATTCTTAGGGATTTAAGTTTTATTGGGTTTTTGATCTTAAATCTCTGGTTAAAGATTCAATTTTTGGGTTCGGATGAACAGTAATGTTTGGTAAACAGTAACGAAAATTTTTTTTCGGGTGAACAGTAAAGTTTTTTTCGGATGAACAGTAACTGAAAAATCACCGGTGAACAGTAACTTTCTAGAATTTTTTGGATTTTTCTTTGATTTTTTCTTCAATTTTTTCCAATTCTGGATCTGTTTTGAAAATAAAAATCAAAGGTTTTTTTTTGGGTTCGGCGGCGGTTTCAATTTGAAACCCTAAGGGTTCATGGCGATAATTGAGGAGGTGGTTACCTCAAACGAACCTTGCGTTCGTTCTCAGGTCGAACATTGCGTTCGTACTCAGGTTGAACTCTGCGTTCATTTTTTAACGAACTTTGCGTTCGTTCTCAGGTCGAACTTTGCGTTCGTACTTAGGATGAACTCTGCGTTCATTTTTAAACGAACCTTGCGTTCGTTCTTAGGTCGAACATTGCGTTCGTACTCAGGTTGAACTCTGCGTTCATTTTTTTTAACGAACTTTGCGTTCTTTCTCAGGTCGAACATTGCGTTCGTGCTCAGGTTGAACTTTGCGTTCATTTTTTCAAACGAACCTTGCGTTCGTACTTAAGTGAGTCTCGTACTCAATACAGTCGAACCTTGCGTTCGAAGTTAAGGGAACTTCGTGTTCATTATGGTTAAGCCTCGGCTTTTCATGGGTCCACTTTGGTATACTTAATTTATTCAATTAAGTTATGGGCCCTAATTAAGCTGTGAGACCCCAATTAAATTTTTGGAAATTCAGTTGATTTAAATTAAAATTTTTTAATTTAAATCTAATTCGGTTTTTAATCAATTATTTAATTCAAATATTATGACACTAAGGTATTAAGGTTGTCTCTCACTCCAATTGATTAATTGAAACAAGAAGTTGCCAAAGTAACCTCTCTTGTGTAGATTGTTCATGAGGAATGTGAGATGTTTGTGTGTATGCTTTCGTGTAAATATTTAATCGGCCCAAAGGAAGGTTAATACTTTCGTATAAATATTTAATCGGCCCAAAGGAAGGTTAATATTTATTTAGACTGTATACACATCTGCGATGATAAGCGTGTGACAATTATAAGGTTTACATGTGAATAATGAATCGATCCAAAGATAGTTTCATTATTTGACATGAGTTATTGTCAATGTTTGATCATTGCAACAAGGTATCACTTACAAGTTAATATTACTGTCCAAAGACTTGATATTAATGTTGTGCCGGTATCTTGGATGGGGATTGTCATTATTTGAATTTTATTGATTATGGTTATTGATGTGAGCATTCTTTTGTTTTATTTCAGCTAATGCATCTGCTGCAACAATTTCTGCTAACATCAACTCAATTCCCATGCTAAATGGGACAAACTTCAAGGTTTGGAAAGAGAACATATTAATTGTTCTTGGCTGCATGGATCTTGACTATGCATTAAGAACTGAACAACCCCAACCTCTCAATGCGGATAGCACTCCTGATGCAAAGAAGGAGCATGAGAAGTGGGAGCGTTCAAATCGCATGAGTCTTATGATCATTAAGCGCGGCGTTCCGGAAGCCTTCAGGGGCATAGAATCCGAAGGGATTACTAAGGCTAAAGATTTCCTTGCCGAAATTGAGAAGCGTTTTGCGAAAAACGATAAGGTAGAAACAAGCACGCTTTTAGCTCGCTTGATTTCAATGAAGTATAAGGGCAAAGGAAATATCAGGGAGTACATTATGGAAATGTCTCATATTGCTTCAAAGCTTAAGGCACTTAAACTCGATCTTTGTGACGAGTTATTAGTGCATCTGGTTTTGTTGTCTCTTCCTGCACAGTTTAACCAATTTAAGGTCAGTTATAACTGTCAAAAGGAGAAATGGACTCTAAATGAGCTCATTTCATACTGTGTGCAAGAAGAAGACAGGTTGAAGCAAGATAAGACAGAAAGTGCTCATTTGGCCTATGCCTCTAAGGATAAGGGCAAGAAAAGGAAGAATGATAAGGAAGCTGCTAAGGGTCCAGTTGAGAAGAAACAACATAAGGATAATCAGGGTTGTTTCTTCTGTAAGAAGCCTGGACATGTAAAGAAGGACTGTACAAAATATCACGCCTGGCGTGATAATAAGGGTACGTTCCTTGCTTTGGTCTGTTCTGAGGTTAATTTAGCTTCAGTACCTAGAAACACTTGGTGGTTAGACTCTGGTGCTACTACTCACATAAGTGTTTCTATGCAGGGTTGCCTGAGCTACCGAAAGCCAAGTGATGTTGAAAGACACATCTTTGTGGGCGACGGACAATCGGTAGATGTGGAAGCAATTGGGCACTTTAGGTTGTTGTTAGGAACTGGTTATTATTTGGATTTAAAAGATACTTTTGTAGTACCGTCTTTTAGACGGAATTTGGTTTCTGTTTCTGTATTGGACAAATCAGGTTATTCTTGTTCATTTGGAAACAGTCAATTCAGTTTATCTTTTAATTCAAATGTTGTGGGAACCGGTTACTTGAGTATTTATGACAACCTATATTTGCTTGATACAATTGCTTCTTACAATGAATCCTTGCATGTGGAATCACGTGGTACTAAGCGTAAATTAAATAAGGAAAATTCGGCGACATTATGGCATAAGCGCTTAGGTCATATCTCAAAAGGTAGAATTGAGCGTCTTGTGTCTGATGGCATTTTGGATTCCCTTGATTTTTCGGACTTCGACGTATGTGTTGAATGTATCAAGGGAAAACAGACCAAAGTGAAAAGATTAGGTGCCAACAGATCTTCGGATGTCTTAGAATTGATACATACGGATATTTGTGGGCCATTCCCTACGGAATCCTGGAATGGTCAACAATATTTTATATCATTCATAGACGATTACTCACGTTATGGGCACCTATATCTTATTCATGAAAAATCTGAGTCTCTGGACATGTTCAAAGCCTATAAAGCTGAAGTTGAGAATCAACTCAACAGAAGAATTAAAACCGTCAGATCTGATCGTGGTGGTGAGTACTACGGTAGATATGATGGTTCAGGTGAACAACGTCCAGGACCATTTGCTAGATACCTAGAGGAATACGGTATCGTCCCACAGTACACCATGCCGGGTTCACCTAGCATGAATGGTGTAGCTGAAAGACGAAACAGGACTCTTAAGGATATGGTAAGAAGTATGATTGCTCATTCTTCTTTACCAGAGTCACTCTGGGGAGAAGCACTTAAGACAGCAGCTTACATTCTGAATAGAGTACCAAGTAAAGCAGTTGCTAAAACACCTTATGAGCTTTGGACTGGTCGAAAGCCCAGTTTAAAGCATTTACATATTTGGGGATGTCCAGCTGAGGCAAGGCCTTATAGGCCAAATGAAAAGAAATTGGACTCCAAAACAGTTAGCAGCTACTTTATTGGATACTCTGAACGCTCTAGGGGCTTTAAGTTTTATGATCCCACTATAAGGAACATTTTTGAGACGGGAACAGCAACATTCTTTGAGGATGTTGAGTTTGGGGGGAGAAATAAGGTTAGAGACATTAGTTTTGAGGAGGAATTGGCTTCAGATCCAATCCATACAGTTACTTTTGACAATATTCAGGTTCCTATACCTGTTGTTGCTCAAGAAGTAAATCCGGAACCTCAAGATGATAATGTTGAACAACTCCCTGTTCCAGAAGAACAAACTCAACAACCTCAAGAACCAGTGCCATTAAGGAGATCCACGAGAGAAAGGAGAAATGCTATTCCGGATGATTATATTGTATTTCTCCAAGAACATGAGGAAAGTAGTGGAATGTTAGAAGATGATCCAATCAACTTCTCTCAGGCCATGAAAAGTTCTAACTCTCAACAGTGGATTGATGCCATGAATGAAGAGTACAAGTCTATGCAAGACAATAAGGTTTGGGAACTTGTCCCATTACCAGAAGGTGCAAAACCAATTGGTTGTAAATGGATTTTTAAAACCAAGCGGGATGCAAACGGTAATGTGGAGAGGTATAAGGCACGTCTTGTGGCTAAAGGCTATACTCAAAAGGAAGGCATTGATTATACAGAGACTTTCTCTCCGGTTTCATCGAAAGACTCTTTCAGAATAATCATGGCACTTGTTGCTCATTATGATCTTGAGTTACATCAGATGGATGTTAAGACTGCATTTCTCAATGGAGACATTGATGAGATGATTTATATGGTGCAACCAGAAAACTTTGTGTCAGGAGACCCAAAGAATATGGTCTGCAAATTAAGGAAATCCATCTATGGACTCAAGCAAGCTCCTCGTCAATGGTATCATAAGTTTCAACAAATAGTTATCTCGTTCGGTTTTGAGATGAACATTGTTGATGACTGT